GCGACGACTGTTGTATATAGTTTTTCTTATGTAGGACACATCAATTGTAGTTAGTGACTCTGGTAAATTAGTAGCAAGTACTTTACGGATAATTTTAGAAGGTTTTTCCGAAATATCATCAACTGCTTTTCGCTTACACGAATTAGAAATAATTTTCCTGTTTAATTTCGGTTCATTTGCTTCATGGCTATGAATTAGGTTGCCTCTGGATACTAAAAGTTCAGGACCAATTGTAAATACAGTGGCATTACAAGCATTTGTTTTTCTTTGGGAGCATCTCCAAGAAACTTCTCCACTTTTCATTTCTCTATCTATGGCAAACGTAAAATTCTCCAAAAGGAGTACATCTTTCCCGCGTGTGCTTTTAATCAATGTAGTTGACATTATAGAAATAATTATTGTTTATAAACACTCGAATTACAATCATCAACGTATAAAAACTGACTGAAATAAAAACAGTAAACACCTAAAGTAAGTACCTATTAGAATTATTAATAATCAGGTAGGTACCTATTTGTGGGCGGATGTAATTTGCGGGTTTAGGTACCTGAATGCTACTGTGGGCAAAATACCAGTAAGATTAACGCACCCCTTTACTTACACAGGTAGAAAACAGAGATTTGTGGGCAAAAAGGACCCGCCGGGATCAAGGGGGTCTAAGGAAAAAGATAAACTTTTGCAGTTTCACACTGTTACAATAGATGTTTAGCAGACCACCTCATGTTTTGCTATCAGTATCGTAGAGAAAATGTTAGAGAGTGCAGTTGGGTGGATAATACTAGATATCAAATAATGGAAAGGACAATGAAGAAGAAAATGAAAAATAGCTTTGTTAGAGGATCTGTCTTTCTCATATCCTTCTGTCTTTTCTTTCATTTCATTTCTTTCGTTATTTTCTATTCCTGGCTAGTGTGAATTTTTTCGCCTCATCAAGACCGATATTTTTCTGGATTTTCTTGTTTCCATTCCTTTTTGGAGTACCCAGTTTTCGCGAGCATAAGTTATTGTTAGTTCTGTAATTAAATGGTGAATTTTAATTTTTGAGTCCATATCAATTTATTTTTTTCAGAAAGTAGTATATATTGATTGATTTATTTGCCCTGTTTGTACGTTAAAAAAATATATAGCATTTTAATCAGCGCCAAAACAAAAAATCTGTTTATTACATTTTTCAGTCATTCTTACAAAATAAATTTGTTAAATTTGTAATAAGTCTGAAATATGATTAACTTTTAACGTACCTATAAAACTAGAAAAATTAACTATTTAAAATTTTATTTATTTTTTAATAGCCTGTTCTCTAAAAGCGATTTCTTCTAATGTGGGTACGACCTCAATAATTTATGGTGAATTTCGAAAACTGTGTTGTTGGTATAATAGGTAGTAAAATATTTTATAGTACCTACTATATTTTGAAAGTGGGTTTACCTTTAAATGGAACGAACGCAATTAGCAACGGCGCCTAACTCGTAAAAGTATGAATAGAAAATTATTCGAATGCGACAAAATTTCAATTGTTATAATTTACGATTACGAAAATATTTTAAGACAGTCTTTTGTATTTATATGTTTACTCGACATATAAATATTAAATATGCCAGATCACATAATTTTGTCAAGGGAATTTTGGTTTTTGCATTTTCTATTGTCTACTTATGTACATAAAACAGTTTCATGACAATACAGACAATTGTCTAAATCATACGGAAACAATCTTAAGTTTAACACAAAAACAACATCTTAAAAAAGGTTCAGCATTACTTAGAAATAAATAATCTAAAATCAATTTTATAAAATATTTGGAGAATAGAAGGAAAATAGAAAATAACGAATAAGGTGTAGTGCCATTACAGACCGTCCCATTACCGACCGCGACAAAAATTACCTGCTCGAGTGCTACTACCGCCCGCGCAGGGTTTACTTATTTTTGTATATCCCACTACCGACCATAAGATTTTATCACATAATAAATATGTTGTAGTTCTGAAAAGAACTGATTTTGTTTTAGTAATTCACATTTTAATAATTATTGATAAGGATAATTTTTATTTCGCTTTCAGTTAGAAAGAAGAAGAAGAAAGCAATGATTATAATCATTATTTTGTTTCCCAATGGTTAGAAAACGCAACAATTAAGGATTTGTGGATTTGTCACGGTAATCGACACAGGACGACCGTTTGTGAATCCTGGCACAGTCGTTTAAATAGATTAATTGGAAAATCAAATCCAAATATAATTGAACTAATATCGTTGAGAAAGGATTCAGATTACTACGATGTTGTTCAACAGATGATCGAAAACAAAATATCTCCGAAGAAACGACCTCCAAAATACGTTCAAGTTGATTTATTCTTTAATTAAAAAAAAAAAAAAAAAGTTTTTAAAATATAGGTACAGTTCATCAAATTTCTAGAGGCTTTCGACGGCTAGACAGAGAAAGCACTACTGACAGGCATCCCGACGGATTTACGCAATGAAAGTACACTCTGCGCATCAAGTATTTCACTATTTCATTCAGACGTAAATGTCAGATGTAAATTTCGCTAAAACATTTCTTTTATTTTCGTTTGTGTTTTTTGCTCATTACAGTTTAATAGAACCTAAGTATGGAGTTTAATAGCAAATTAAGAGGCCGCGTGATTAACAGTCAATCTCGCGAAATAATAGCCAATGTTATAGAGTTTATGAGAAGAGAAGGAAACTTTAATTCACCTTCAATACCATTTAAAAATGTAAATGATCGTGTTGCTGCAGCCACAGGAGTATCTAAAAACACTGTCGTCCGCATTTCTGGAGAGAAAAAAAGAATCGATAACCGTGAGATATCGGAATTTTCATCACCAAGAAAAACCATTAAAAAACCAAAAACAGTTAATGATATAGATGAAGCTGCACAAGAATCAAATTTTACTTTTTTATTATTAGATAGCTATTTTTGTTTCTGAGTTGTGTTCATTTACAGGCTCAATTTTTTTCCGTTTCTCCTTTTTGATTTTATATGGGGTTTCAAGTTGTTTTTGACTTATTTCGACGTAAATCACAACACACTTTTTTAATAAAGCAAACAAGTGTTAAGAGGTATATGTACGTGTAAACTACAATTAAAAAAAATTGATATGAAACCCATGAAACCACCAACAAAAATGTAAAGCTAGCTTCCGTACTAGAACATGGCGTCATTCGTCGAGATAATTTATCGTTTTGTTTAATAGATCAAGAAATGTAAATATTCCCCTGTTATTTTTTATAAAATTATAAGAGAAATAAATTTTTTTCTAAATAGTATAGTTTATTATTTTGTAGAAAAACAAAATTTCGAAAATTTTAGTAATGTTTCAGATACAACCGTTATTAATAATAGGTACCATTTTCCTTAATAAGGTAGAAATAAAATATAAACTATTTCCACGATTTACAAAGGCCTACAAAAAAATTATAGGTATTTTCCGCTATCCTATAAAATTTATATTTTCTGACTCAATTTCAAAAGGTTGAAGGAATTCCAAAACACCTTTTATGGCATAATAATTATTTTCAATTCTACATACTATCTTTAGCTGCTTTTAAAAACGTTCTAAGAAAGTCCAATCAGACCAATTTAATCCCTAAACTATTCCACACTTTTAAAATTTAATTACCTAAAAATATTAAAAACTATTTAAAATAACTTGTTTAGCAGACTGTACAATAGCTATCTTAGTCACACGTAGCGCGTTCTCTGTCTGGGCGTCGAACACCTCTAGAAATTTGATGAACTGTATATCTCAAAGACATATTTAAACCAAAAAATATTTTTTAAATATTTTTGATATATTGTGTGCCTAGGGTATCTATTTTCATTTCTATCTCCTCTTTCCAAAATAAATTTTCTACCTTTTTAACATGATCAATGCATTTACATCTGAAACTGCATTCAAAAACAAATTTCGCACATTAGGTAATTTAAATGTTGAATTGTTTCGAGAAATATAACCTTTTAATTGTGTACAGATCAGTTCAATAAAATTTAACTCTGCGTGGTAAGGAGGCAATCTGAGAATTTAAATTCCTTTTTATCGGGCCATCTCGTCTGTAATATATTTTTTGAATTTGTTTTTATGTTGCCTTGCTATTGGTAATTCTGTCTTCAAGGATTTAAGAGGACTGATAATATTTTTAGAACTAAGTTATTTTGAAATATCTTAATTTTTTCATCTTGTAGATAGTGACTCATTTAATCGACTACGATAGGCTGCATTATCCAAAACTATAACGCAGTTGGCTGGATTTTTTTTATAATGTTCAAAAACAAATTTTCAAACATAGAGCCACCCATTTCTTCATGATATTCCATTGTTTTCTTTGATTTGAACTGCTAAATCATCTGGCAAAAACCCATCAGGGCTTCCAGTGTGGGTTATTAATAAACGATTTCCTTTTCTTGTTGACTTTTTTTAATTCACAAGAGAACCTCTTCCATAAAGGATTGTATTTTAGTTTTGATGGAGGTACCTTGCCAAATGTTTGTTACTGTATGTCCAGCATTAACCCATGTATTTAAATAAAATAACTATTTATAATTAAAATGTATTGATTTATCTTTTATATTAAGGTTGGCGCGTTCGCCCATAGAAATCTGCCGTATATGCGCGGTTGACTATAAACCAAGCTTTCGAGAAAAATATACTTCCTGGCATTAATTTTAATATTGAAAACCGTTCATGAAGTGTGCTTAGGGGTTGTAAAGACTTCTTAAGAAACTAAGTTGTTCTAAAGTACTCGAAAAATGACTTTGACTTTTGGTATCTAAACCACATATAATTGCGTTGACTTACTTAGGAATTTTCTTAAAACTAAACATATTTCCATGTTGTCTTTCCGTTGCATCCCGTACAACCATCACAGAAATCCAGTGAAGAGGAGAACAAAAATTCCAGGAACAACCCAACAGGAACAGTATCCAAAAAACCACTCGATTCACAACCCCAAACAGTGAAACCAAACTCACTGCAATCATTAAGGGCAGCTACACCACCTACTACTAAAGCACTCCTCCCAAAGAGAAAACATCCCTCTCCAATTGTGGAAAACAAAGAGGAAGAAGGAGGTGACGAATCAGAAGATGTAGATAATGAAGGGTTTCAAAAGCCAAAAAAGTATAAAAAATTCAAGACGAATTTTGTAAAACTTATTGAAAAAAAAGTAGCAGCAACAATCCCAACGAGCAACAGATACGACTCCCTAAGCGAAAGCGAATTTGAACAGGAGCAAATCACAGTACTCCCAGCTACATCAAAAGGGAAATCTACCCCCAATCTAGTGATCAAAGGTAACTCCACAACAAGTAGCACTAAAACCGCTAAAGAACCGCCAAAAGTTAACAAAAAATCAACAATCCCACCCATAGTGGTCGATGGACGCACGGATAACCACGCAACCCTAACCAAAGATCTGAAAGCCATAATCAAGGGTAAATACTCAGTGAAATATACCAATGCTACAACGGTTATATTCACTGAGGATATGGAAGATTACGAATCGCTACTTGGAGGTATCAAACAAGCCGAAATTCCCCACCACACTTACACAAGTAAATCTGAAAAAACCCACGCGTTTGTCCTGAGAGGCCTGGCGAACGGGACAGAAAAAGAAGCCATTGAAGAAGATTTAATCGCGTCATATGAGATCAAACCTAAAGACATCTATAAAATGACAACCAAACATCGACCCCTATTTTTAGTGGTGACTGACCCGGTAATTACACTCGACTACCTAAACAAGAATGTAAGGGTAGTCGAAAACACGCGCGTCATATGGGAACTGAGAAAATCCACTAGAAGTATAATACAATGCCACCGGTGCCAGGCATGGGGACATGCCACTTCCAACTGCGGCAGGCCGCCGAAATGCCTGAAATGCGCCGGCGATCACCTAACAAGGACCTGCATAAAAACCAGGGAAACTCCGGCCACTTGTGCAAATTGCATGGGTGACCACCCCGCCAATTTTACTCGGTGTAAGACATACACCGACAGAGCCGCCAGGATGGAGGAGAGGAAACTCTCTCAAGCTCAACCCCGAAAATTTATCCCCGCACCTCCACCAACAACGAATATCTGGAATAAAACCAAAAACAACCCCAGAAACGAAGATTTCCCTGCTCTCCCGAGTAGGCAAAGCACACAAAATGTGCAAAACCAGCCGCCCAGAAGACAACCACCAACCCCAAACAATCCAGAGGGCACAATGGACGACATATTCGCCTTAAATCAGAAACTGCACGAATTAAATAGTATGGTAAATATAGCAGAACTCACTCGCGCTGTCAGAGAGTTAAATGCCCAATTACGAAAATGCAACAACAATCCAGCACAATACCTCATGACATTTAATAACTTCATGACTAATCTTGATAAATACAACATAAGGAACTAAATTCAACAACGTAAATAGAGACAAACTGAGAATTTGTTTTTACAATGTGCGTGGGCTGCTAAACAAGATCGGTCTTGTAAGCAATTTCATTCACAAGCAAAAATTTGACATACTAATCCTGACAGAGACGTTCCTAAAAACAACGGACAAAGTAAAGATTAGAGACTACATAATAATTAGACAAGACAGACAATCGTACCAACAAAGACAAGCAGCTGGGGGGGTAGCTCTCATAATAAAAAAAGACGTCATCTATAAACAACTCAGAAGGGCCCACGTCTCGCTTAAACTTGAACATATAATTATAGAAGTCAATAACTTAATAATCATTGGTTTGGTGCTTATCACCCTCCTCGTAATAATTTGCTAAAGAGAGATCTGCACATACTGAGGTCAAAAGGTAACAGGGTTATTCTGGCAGGGGACCTTAATGCTAAACACCCGGAATGGGACGCTAATTGTGAATTCCACAACACGAGCGGACTGCTACTGAGAGACTTCGCTGAAGACAACGGTTACATCATTCACTATACTGACGAGCCGACATATTTTCCTACATGCGCGACATACCGTCCTAGTACACTGGATATAGCACTTGCCAAAAACATACCTGACATTCGTAACTTGCGAACCTTGAAAACTCTTAGTTCAGACCATGATCCAGTGTACTTAGAGATCTGGACAACACAAAAAATACCCCGACAATATCGGCAATATTACGACTACACTAAAACTAATTGGGCATCCTATAGATCGGAACTTGACAAACTAATCCAAATAAATAATAACATTCATTCAACAGAATTAATTGAATTTGAAATCAATAAATTAAGAAACGCTATACAAAAAGCTAGAGATGCTACAAGGACGCTTAAAACACAAAAACAACACAATGACATATTGCCTATAGAAATTTCGGACATGATCAACAACAAAAATCACATCAGAAAGAGATGGCAACAACATAGACAAAGCGAAGATAGGGTAAGATTACATAACATTTCAAAGACCATCAACAACATGATTAAAGAACACCGCAACAAAAAATGGCAAAATACCCTATCGGAGCTCAAAACAAACGACAATTCATTGTGGAAAGTTGTGAAAAGGTTTAAAAAACCGAACTCGCAACTTCCCACAACGAAAAAAGGACCGAACTTACTTACCACCGACAAAGACAAAGGCCACGCCTTTGGCGAATTCTTTCAGAAAAATTTCATTAACGAGCAGGAAAACACCCCTGAACAACAGCGCATTGAACTCGTAGTAAATGCGCTGCAGCAGTCAGAACCACGATTAGTGCCACATTCCTTTCTTACCTCTCCTAAAGAGGTGTGTGACGTAATTAAGGGTCTCAAAAATAGAAAAGCCCCGGGTCCGGATGACATCAGTAACATTTTACTAAAAAATCTTAGTAAAAAAGCTGTCGTGCAGCTCTATCACATCATAAATGCCATTTTCAAGCTGCAACACTATCCCAGTGGCTTGAAAATGGCAAATATAGTCCCAATATTAAAATCGGGAAAACCGACCAATAAGGTCGAAAGTTACCGCCCCATCTCCTTTCTGAATACAATCGCGAAAATAACAGATACATTAATTTTGTTTAGACTAAAGAAAACCGAACAACGCCTACAAATTATCCCACGGGAACAATACGGTTTCAGGGAGGGACACAGTACAATCTCTCAAGTCCTGCGTATTGCACATCACGCGAAAGAAGGATTTAATAATAATCTTTAAACTGTACTAGTTACTCTAGACTGTGAAAAAGCCTTCGACACCGTATGGACCCGTGGGTTAATACATAAAATGCTTGTGAATGACTTTCCCATACACATTGTGAAAATAATCCAGTCATACTTATCGAACGGACAATTTTGTATTAAAATCAACTCCACAATAACAGGACCATTCCTAGCTCAAGCGGGGGTACCACAGGGCTCAGTACTCTCGCCGTATTTGTATACGGTTATGACCTGTGATTTACCCATGGGTGATAATGGTGTACACACGGCGTTGTACGCCGACGACATTTGTTTATTCTCCAGTCATAAATCCGCCGAAACAGCCACCAGGAAGCTGGACAGCCATATAAACGGACCGTTAATCTCTTATCTACAAAATAATAAAATCAAAATAAATTCTAGTAAGACAGAAACAAATGTGCTAACAAAAAGGCGGTCCGAAGGTATAGACACGCCCCTTCAAGTTGCAAATCAGCCTATCGCAGTAAAGAACCCAATAAAATACTTAGGTGTGCTTCTGGATAAGGGATTAACGTTCCGACAACATACGAACGACAGGGTGATAAAAAGCTGCGGTGTGATAAGGACATTAACATACATCGGGAAGACGGCGTGCGTAGAAAGCACACGGATGTCTTCATGAATGTCTTAGCATATACCGACTACAGTAACATGACCCTGCACATTTCCATAACGTACTAAACAACAATTCACTCGACGAAGATACTTGCGAGATCTAGTCGGACGGACGACTGAACGGTAGAGCCAACCGATGGGACCAGTTTACCTAGGACTCTCCTAGGCTACGTTTGCATAGATACCCACGTGGATTTTAAAATTTACCGTTTTTGACAGCTGTCAAGTAAAAGTACGAACCTTAAACTTTATAATTAATACGCCAGAGCAAGTATATAACATCCCAGGAAGTGGATTAGGCACATGCCACTGCCCGAAAGGGCACCAGACTCACCCATAACTAGTTTCGAAACTTTTTACACCAAAAGGCTGAAAAGCAGATGCCGGCCAAACCAAAGGGACATACTTAGACTTACCAAAATATCCACCCCAAATACCACCAAACTAAAGAAGAAACCCAAAACTCCATCAACAGTGAGTAATTTAAACATAATACACACTAACACTAATAAAGGGGAAAAAGATCCTTCTCAGAGGGAACCCCTTGACGAAAAATCCGAGATTCGACCTTCAAATGACCGTCAAACACTTAAAGAAGGCACACAAGACGTAGTGTTAGTAACACCTCAACAAACAGAAAGCCAAACAGTGGCCAACACGGACGGTGAGGGGGTCATCTCCCCAAACCCCGATTCGGGATCATCGGAAATGGAATTCCATGATTCCCAGGACTCACAGGAGGACTCTGCCTCCCAAACGCTCACCAAAGAAAATGAGGATGAAATAAACCTTACAGCAGATAAACAAAATGCAGAAATAGCTAAAATAGTCTATGAAGGATTAGAAGCAGACACACAAGAACAATCCAAAAAAAGGAAAGGTCGCAGCTTGGAAAATCTAAATAAAATATCCCAGTCATCAGATAATTTCAACTCAGAATACTGTTTGGATAACGTCACAGATACGGATAATCCTCTTAAGGTCAAAATTAAGAGAATAGGACTCCCCAGCAATGTTGTAAGCAGAAATCTCAACTTCCGAACATCAGATAATTCAGAAGAAGATAGGGGTGCTCAATCGCTCCTTTTACAAAAGTCGCTAAAAGAAGCGCAAAATGCTAGATTTTTCCTCCCACCCCCTATTACCCAAAACATAGATTCAAATCCCGAAACAGCTTTCTACGTCCCACCAAGCAGTTACCCACAAACAAACCCATCCTCACCCCCCTCCTCACAATCCCTACCACCTGCAGACCAATTAACACCGAATAGCAGGGGCTTAACCAGAATCTCTAGCCAAAAAGACAGAAGAATAAGACAGGAAATTTTAGGAATAGTTGAAAAAGACAATCAGAATAATTTTGAACAGCCCAAAAAGACTACAAAACTAAAACACCTCATCGAACAAAAAGCCAAGTCCACAATAAAGCTCAAAAATAAATACAAACCCCTAACTGACGAGTCAGAAAGAGAGGAAGACAGTGAGGAAGAATCCGATAACGAGAGAAAAAGAGCGAAAAGGCACAAAACAAACACTCCCAAAAAGAGCGTTCCCAGCCAACAAACAAATAAAGCCTCTAAGAAATCAGCTATGCCCCCGATAGTGATAGATGGAGTCACCCAAAACCACAAGGAAATGGTAAATAACATCAAAGAAACCATCAAAGGTGATTTCACGTTAAAACACACTAACAGATCCACCATCCTTTTTGTCAATGATGAGCCTGACTATACCAAAGTTCTTACTAACATAAGGGCTGAAAAGATCCCACATCATACATATACGCAAAAACACGATAAATCGCATGCATTTGTCCTAAGAGGCATGACAAAAGGAACAGAAATAACCGACATAAAAGACGATCTTCAAGAAAGCTACGAAATCAAAGCTCGGGAAATTTATTTAATGACCACAAAAAACAGGCCTCTCTACCTGGTTATCACAGACCCTGCCATTACTCTCGATTACCTAAATAAAAACGTGAGAGTCATTGAAAACACGAGGATCATCTGGGAACTCAGAAGATCCGTCAAGTTACTTATCCAATGTCACAATTGTCAATTGTGGGGACATGCTACAAGTAACTGCGGAAGACCATCCAAATGCCTCAAATGCGCGGGTGATCATCACACCAGATCCTGCCTAAAAACGAGAGAAACACAGGCGAAATGTGCAAATTGCGGTGGTGATCACCCCGCGAACTATACTAAATGCTCTCACTATGTGGAGAGAGTAGAAAGACTGAGCGATAAAAGAAAAGCTGAACCCAAAAAGTATGTAAACGCACCTGCTCCAAATATAAATGCATGGGACAGAAATGCACAGAGGCCACCTAACCAGGAAGAATTCCCAGAACTTCCCAAGAGAATCAACAATAGAACTTCCCAGCAAACGGCCCTCCCATCAGCACCTAGGATGCAACCTAGGTCCGCTGCCAATAGGCCCAACGGCAATCAGGACGATTTCCAAACATTAAACTCCGAACTTGACGAACTTAACAGGTTGGTAAATATTTCAGAACTAACTAGAGCAATCAGAGATCTTAACAATGAACTTCGTGCATGTCTCACCAATTTAGACATATATACAACTTATCAAAATTTCCACGCAAACTTAAATTCATACAATTTCAGAAACTGAACTTGGTGAGGCATGCAAAGACAAATACAAAATCTGTTTTTATAATGCGAATGGGCTGCACAACAAGATACATCTTGTACGCAATTTCATACACAATCATAATTTCGACATAATCTTTGTTTCAGAAACTAGATTTAGGGATAACGAAAAACTTAAAATACAAAACTATACAGTAATCAAACAACAAAGACAAGATGACGGCGGACACGGGGGGGTAGCGTTTATTATCAGGAAAAATATACAGTTCAAACAACTCAAAAACATTGATATAAGCCTTGAGAACCTAGTAATTAAGGTAGATAAATTCACCATTGTTGGAGCGTACAATAGCCCCAATAATTCAATTAAAAATAATGAACTACACAAAATAATATCTACGGGCCAGAGAGTGATCTTGATAGGTGACCTTAATAGTAAACACCCTGAATGGGACGCGAATTGTATTAGACACAACAAAAATGGCAAAACACTGAAAGAATTCGCCGAAATAAATGATCTTAACATACATTATACAGAAACCCCCACCTTTTTCCCATTCAATGACAGACATACCCCCAGTACATTGGACATTGCCGTAACGAAAAACATCGACGAGACGAGAAACATGAGAACCATCTCTTCCTTAAACTCAGACCACGACCCAGTTGTCTTGGAAATCCCCACACACAACAAACCCTACAACAACCCAGTTAAATATTATGACTATTCCAAGACTAACTGGGCCGCTTACAGACGGACACTGGACGAAAACATACAAATTCGAGTATTAAATACCCCACAAGACATAGAAAATGAAGTCAACAAATTAATAACAGCAATAAAAACTGCCAGAAACCAGTCAACAGTACTTAAGACTCGAAAACAACATAAAGAAGACATCCCAGACGACATACAAGAACTGATACGTAACAAAAACTCTATAAGGAAGAGATGGCAGGCACACAGACAACCAGACGACAGGGTACGACTACATGACATCGCCAACTACATCAACACACAATTACAGGAAATCAGAAACGAAAAATGGAACAAAGTCCTCGAAGAGGTAAACCCCAAAAATAACTCAGTTTGGAAAATCGCAAAACACCTCTCTAAACCAAAGTCACAACTCCCAACCCTAACTGACGGACAAAACACATACACCACAAACCATGAAAAAGGTCGCTTATTCGGCGAATTCTTTCAGGAAATATTCACCAATGATACACCGAATAACGCACGTCAACAAAGAATCGAAGATGACGTACAACAGTTCGCGAATAACCCACCCTTTCCTGTACCCCAAACAGACTTATCCACCCCTAAAGAAATCCACACTATCCTTTGCAGTCTCCGAAACAAGAAAGCTCCTGGACCGGACGAAATCAGCAATATTCTTCTGAAAAACCTATCTAAGAAAGCTATTGTACAGCTGCATCATATTATCAATGGGATACTAAAATATCAAGAATACCCTAACAGTCTAAAATTAGCTAACGTAATCCCAATACGGAAAAATATGAAAAACCCCAAATTTGTCGAAAGCTACCGCCCGATTTCACTTCTCTCGGGTATAGCTAAAATCGTGGACAAAGTCATTCTTACGAGACTACAAAATTTTGATAAAGACAACCATATTATCCCTCCGGAACAGTTCGGGTTCAGAGAGGGCCACAGTACTGTTGCCCAAATAATAAATATTGCCCATCAGGCCAAAAAAGCCTTCAACACTAAGAATCAAACAGTACTAGTAGCTCTAGACACAGCAAAAGCGTTCGACACAGTCTGGACCGGAGGGTTAATCCACAAAATGATTGTGAATGATTATCCCGAGCACATTATAAAAACAATTTATTCATACCTTGAAAATAGAAAATTTAACATTAAAATCAACAAAACAATAACAGGACCATTCAATGCTGTTGCCGGAGTACCCCAGGGTTCGGTACTCTCGCCGCATCTGTACACCATTATGACCCATGACATGCCAGTGGGAATTAATGGGGTACAGACGGCGCTGTACGCCGACGACACCTGTGTATTCAAAACCTCTAAATCCGCCGAAATTGCCACCAGGAGACTGGACATTCATGTAAACAGAACGTTAATCCCTTATCTAGACAACAACAAGATGAAAATCAATCCGTCCAAAACGGAAACAGCACTACTCTCCCAAAGAAAAGCTGACGGCATAAAGAAAAACATCAGAGTACAAAACACGGAAATAAAACCCAAAGGGGCGATTAAATATCTTGGTGTATGTCTGGATAGGCGATTAACGTTCAAAAAACACATACAAGACAGAATATCAAAAGCAACGGGGATGATAAAATTATTATACCCGATGCTAAGCAGAAACAGCAAAGTCAGCAGATCTAACAAACAACTGTTGTATAAACAGGTCATTAGACCTATCCTAATATATGGATGTCCAGTCTACTGCTCCATGGCCGAATCGCACTTTAAAAAACTTCAAATTTGCCAAAACAGGTGTCTTAGGTTAATCCTGGGATGTACAAGGTACACAAGAATTACGGAAATGCATGAACGCACAAACATACTTCCTATCAAACAATTCATATTAAACACCGCAGAAAAATTCTTTCAACATAGTCTCCCACAGTCATTAAAGGAAGACATATTACAATTCACGGCTGCAAATAACCAAAATAGGAAGCATGTTTGGTTACATGAAAACTTGACTATATACAGACGATGAACAGGGACAAAAATAAAGCACAATAACATGTACCAATAACATGGCATGCAATATCCAAAGCCGCACTGAATTCTCACAGCAGTCGGCCTGAGACTATATCGAGCGGTGGGCGGGGCCTAGGCCAGGGAGGATCAGCCATTGGCAGACCCCCCTGACCTATGAACGGCCAGCTCTCGATAGGGCTTCAGTGGGTATTGTAGACATCCTAACCAAAGACGATTACAAACACACCTCCACGCTTCAAAACCCTGTTTTTTCACAAGCTTTTTCAGGGAAAACATACAAAATTAAATTCAAACAAAACCTTCATCTAAGATCACTGACTGCGAATAGCATCACAGCCATAAACAGGCTAATTTTACCAATCTGGTAAGGAGTAGTCTAGCTAAATCCAGACGTTAGCATCGACAAATTCAAGGGGCAGAACATCAGCCGAATCCCTAAGGATTCAGAAGAAAATTATATAAATATTTATATATGTTTTCTATAATTGTATTTGTAGATGTGAATTGTATATATTATGTAAATAAAGAATTTTAAAAGTAAAAGTAAAAAAGTAACGGCCGAGGAAGAATTCACAAAATTAACTAACAACATAATTGAGGCTAGAAATCTATCCACGAAAATAATCAAACACAAGCCCTACAAAGACAACTTCCCTCAAGAGATATTAGATTTAATTGACAATAAAAACTACTTGAGACGACGCTGGCAGACGCATAGGATGGTTGATGACAGGGCTAGACTTCATGACATCGGTAAAGCCATTAACACTAAAATTATAGAATTCAGAAACGATAATTGGCGTAAAACCCTGGAATCAATCAACGTGCAAGACAACTCAGTGTGGAAAATTGTGAGAAGGTTTCAGAAACCCTTCGCGCAGCTTCCCACACTGAGACATAATAACAACATGTACTCGACCGACGAACAAAAGGGGAGTGCGTTCGGTGAATTCTTTCAGGGGAATTTCGTTAATAACCAAGTTAATAGTCCTAAACAACAGGAAATTCAAGATCTAGTTGCCCAAATAAAGGAGCTACCTACCCAAATTGTCCCCCAAGCATCGCTAACGACCCCTAAGGAAGTAGCGAAAATCATTAAAAGAACTCGCAGTAAAAGAGCTCCAGGACCCGATGGCATACATAACGAATTAATTAAAAATCTCTCTAAAAAAGCTGTGGTGCAGCTGCACTATTTAATTAACGCAATTTTAAAATTACAAACCTATCCAGAGCTACTCAAAGTGGCTAACGTAGTCCCTATCTTCAAAGCTGGCAAAAACAGAGGGGAAATAGGAAGCTATCGCCCCATCTCCTTATTAAATGGCTTGGCCAAAATAACCGACAAAGTAATACTGAACAGACTACTAACGTACGAACAAGACAAGAACATTATCCCGTCGGAACAGTACGGATTCAAAGCCGGCCACAGCACAGTGTCACAAATTATCAGAATTGCACATCATGTTTACAAGGGCTTTAACACTGGGAAACAGACAGTTTTAGTGGCACTTGATGCTGCAAAGGCATTTGACACCGTCTGGACTGACGGGTTAATACACAAAATATTTATGAATGACTACCCCGTTTACATTGTAAAAACAATACAAACGTACTTACATAACAGACAATTTCACGTTAAAATCAACAACACGCTTAAAGGACCTTACACAGCACTGGCGGGGGTACCTCAAGGTTCGGTACTGGCGCCGCATCTGTACACGATTATGACCCATGACA